TGGAATTGCAGGCCACATAGCTTTCTCAAGTCCTGCCTGAGAAAGTGGCCTGGAAAGTTTTAAGGAGGATTTAAAACAATCCTCAGAGAGACAGAAAACAGCCTTGCAGGTGTTGTTTGTCTGTCCCTTGTTTTCTTTGCAAGAGAAAGTCAGAGGGTGGTGAGCCCCACTGATCAATGATAGTAATGTAGTGGTTTGCTAACCAATAAGAGTTTCCTTTCTGTACTTTCCATGTATCGGTCTATAAAACACCTGAAGTAATAAACTAAGAAAATTCTCCTAATCGACTCCGTGAGAGTCTGTGTCATTCGTTCTCGCCGTTCCTAATAGAGCGAGACATGGCCAGTCGGCTGTAACCCATCCTATCTCCATGAGACACAGAGGATGCCTTTGAGAAGATCAGGAAGTTGGAGACTCATGCCATGTCCATAACTCTGACACCCTGAAGTTGCCTCTGAGGGCTCTGCCTTTGCCTGCAGAAGTACTGGAAGCGGGAGTTAATCCAGTTTGCTTCTTGGTGGGCAATACTCTTGCAGCCCGTGGCTAGCTAATAGCCCAGGGCCATGGCCACAGGGAAACCAGTGGCTTTCCAGTAGCTGCCTGAGAAGGAAACAGCACTCTTGTAAGAGTGGAACACAAGGACACACAGGACTCACAAAGCAAGCACAGGCAGAGCCAGAGCACAGACCCCAAGGGACAAACTTCTTGGACAATTAATCAAAGCCTAGGACAAGAATTAAACCAAGTGTGCTACTTCAATAAGAATTAAAGGCATGACTGAGAGGACACCGAGTCTGCAGCCCTGCAGTGTTGCCCTGCCCTGGGATCTGGGGCTGGCTTTCAGTAACAGGACTTCCAGCCCAGCTGGTTTCAGGAGCAATGCAGAGGATTCCCTGACCTCCAGCTGCAAAAGCTGGATGTTCTTTCAAATGGATAAATATGTTTCTAGTTTCATCTGCTAGCCATCTTCTTGCTGTGGGAAGCACAGAGCTGCCAGGAGAGGTGCCAGCAGATTTCATTGCTGCCAGCTTGGTAGAGAGAAAAGGATAGTTTATCCTTCACCTTGGTACTCACAGAGCCTCCATGCCACTTTTGACCTTGAAACATCAAGCTCAGCTTTGGTTACCTGCAGTCTGGGATTCTAAAAGACATGTGAGAAGCCTTAAAAGCAATGGGAACTGATTGCCAAGTCTTTTTTTGCCCCATAAATCCTCCAAATTTTGTTATTGGTGCATTTAAGGAGATAAGCAGAGGCCTACATCCAAGAGTTTTGTGGTGATTTTAGGCAGCTATATGCAGCTTAAATTAACACTAGACAAGTGTGTGCCCATTACGGTTTTTCTGCATATTTTATAAGCAATATAATGTCACAGTTAAACTCAGTGCAATCAGCTCCTACAGAGTTTCTTCTGTTCAGCTTTTCTTTTAGCAATTTGGTAGATAGACCCACTACCAGGGCAGTTACACAATGAACAGATGAGCAGTAGGTCCCATCTTTAGCAAAGGCATTTACCCTCCCCTACGGATGCAGCAAGTGCCCTAGTGCAGGATGGGACAAAAAAGTCCAGTTGCTGAATTCTTGTTTAATTATTGAATTAGCACCATGCTATTTCACCCATGCAGCCTCTGGAGATGGCAAGTCCAAGCAGCCTGGCAGGCACTCACTTTACTGTGGCTGTCTGCCCCTGAAGCATGGCCTCAAGCGTTTTGCATCAAGGTATCAAGGGTTCAGCATGAGCCTTTGCTTCAGTGCTTTCGAGTAAATTAAGATTTACTTTTTTTCTCACTCAGGGAAAACCTTACTTTCATTTTCTAATCACTTCCAGCCATAAGTAACAGACCCAGTAATGGCAGAGCTCAGCCTCAATCCCAGGAGGCTATTTACTGGGAATGGAAAGTTCCCGTGCTTCCCAGCAAAGCCTGACACCAGGACTGGCAATGCAAATGCTGCTGTAATGGGAACACAGCAACAGCATTAACAGCACAACAGTGGAGAGTAAAAGCACTGACTAGTTTTGCATGGAACAGAGAAACAAGGAGGTGCCTCATTATGAAGGTCAATCTTGCACATTGAAATTTTTATACCACAGCTACTTTCTCATTATTCAACATTAGTCCTCAAAAAGGATGCTCAAGTTGAGCAAGAAACAGATGTGAAGATGACTGGTCTGCAATTACAATATAATGGATTATAAAAGGGCTGGCAAAGAGACCCTCTTATATCATTATCCCTGCCCATTAAGAAATCTTTAGCAAGGCTTGTGAAGCTGGTCTTGCATTTAAAGTACAGAAACCAATGTGACTACTAAAAGTGATGGGACAGTTGCCAGGAAGCAGCACTGTGTCTCCTGCTGCCTCAGAAATGTTTCTCTGCATGCCTGCTTAGGTGAGCAGGGTCTTTTAAAGACAAACCCGTTTATAATTTGTGGCTTAGACACCAAGAAGAACCATGGTAGCATGGACATTTCCACACCCTGGACCAGACTTGGAAAGCTGTGCAAAAAGGACTTTCCTCTCCTGAGTGACCAGAATTCAATGACTCGAGGATAAAAGAGATGGTGTCTGCCTCTCCTCCCCTTTCCCAGAGAAGAGGGCAGCACACAGCAGCACAGACCTGCCCGGGCCGCCCTCCAACTCTGCCAAAAAACTCATCTCGGCTGCAGAGCATCCTCTGGGCTCTCCTGGTCAGTGGGACAAACTCCACACACACATAACTCTTCAGGCTACATAGAAGACATGAAAAAGTAATGTTTTTCTGTGAGACAAGACCCCACATGCTCAAACACATTACCCCAGGCTCTTCTGGCAGGTAGGGAATTAATGAGACAAATCCCAGTTGCCACAGCTTTCCTGACTCCAGCTTGAGCTCCAAGCTGAAGGCAATTACATGGAGATAAATGAAAACACAGAGAAATTGCAATTCTTTATAAGAAGCTGATGTGTGCAAAGCTGAGGTCTCCTGTGAGGTACTTTCATGATGTGTGTGCACAGCCATAAAAAAATAAATTTAGATTTCATTCAGTAGCCTAATTATTCTCAATGAAATGCAACTGGGAGTAACAGAATTAAGTAAGAAGTGCAACAGGTTGCAATGACATCACCAGACTACTCAAAGTTTATTTTTAAAAGCTTCTATGCCTTAAGTGCCCTGGGGTACTTAACCTGTGCCATTAAAGTCATCATGAAAGATGTTGTCTCTGAACTGAACTGGCCCAGCCCTCAGTCTTGGCTTTGGTCTGAAACATACCCCAAGGAAACACAGCTTTCTTACATCACTTCTGGCACCAGCTGTGCCTTAAGAACGTGAACAGTGAGCATGGGGACAGTTTGACTTAGGGACAAACTGGGTCTGATTAAGGCTTAGATGCTTCACTGAACTGTGCAGTTTGAGATAATCTGTAGCAATCCCATCTATGTTTTCTAGGGAAAATGCCTCCAGTTCTCACTCAGCAGTGACAAGCCTGGCAGACCCCATATTGGCTGGGGGAGCAAGGGGGGTGCTGCTCCCCTGAGCCAGCCCAGAACACAGCCATCACAACCAGGATCACACAGCAGAAGTGGTCCCAAACACCTGGGACACAAAGAAAAAAAATGAACTGCAATTTCTCCCACCAACTGGAGGTTTGCTTATCCAGGCTGGAGGCTGTGGGACAGGGGCTGTATCAAGACTTTGGCTTCCTTGCTGGGAAAAGGACAGCAGCTCTTCCTCAATTCCTTTCAGCTAGCCTGTGTCTGCACCAGCTGAAAATCATTTTGTTAATCACTCCTATCTGATGTGTTTCTCATGCCAATGCAGGGGGGTCCCGTGCCTCCCCCAAGCCAAGGCTGGGATAAGATGACAGTTCCCAGCCACACAAACATAAGCAATACAATGGTCATGATTTAGGAGGTACTCGCATTCTGTTTGCTCTGGTGAGAGCCTGGAATAATTCACTTGAGTCACCACAAGACTCAGACTGGATCCAAAGTGATGCCACTCCAGCCCTCCTTAACTTTGGAGCTGATGCCCTCTGTGAAGGCTTGAAGCTATTTGATTAAGGTTGGCAGGCATTAGAAAGCTCACCAGTTTCCCTCACCACCTTATGAGTGCACCAAGGAGCCCACATCTTCCTCAGCTACCCAGACCACCAAACACTCTGTGACTTCAGCAGTAACAAGTAGGACTCACCCCACAAGGTTGTGGGGATCCTTGCACAATTCCTGCAGCATTCCAGGCTGTAGAGGGGCTCAGCTACATTTGCTGCCCTATTCAGACCAATCTCATAGCACTTGGCCACTGCAAAGCCCAGGCACAATTTTCTATGCCACTGAAGTGGACCAAACTCTCCCTTGTCCTTGGTGCTGACTGGCTTTTCCAACAAGAGACTCTGGTGATTATTTCTATTGCTACAGCCCACTAGTGAAGCAGAAAATAAACTTTATCAAGTTGGTAAATGATGGAGAAAACACCATTCCCTTAGGTGGTGAGATAAATAACATTAGCAGCAGCAGCAGGACCAGCATCATACTGGATCAGGGTGGGAGGAATGGCAGTTAGGTGGTTATCCCATCTCTTGCCTCAGCAGGACATGTTTTTAGCACTGGCTTCATTGTCAGGAGCAAGTTACTCTAAACATCATCATTCTCCTGCCTGGCTTGAACCATTTCACAACTTACCTGATGCTTATTTCCCCTCTCTTACCCTAAAGACATACATTTTCACATGGGTGTAGAGCAGGCCAGACAGGGAGTTATGGATACATTAACCACTGCAGGAGGATGTGCAAGAAGGGTTGGACCTGGTGCCCCAGGGAGAGCAGCTCTCAAGCTCAGCAGGACCAAGCTATTTGTCTTTCTCGTGTAGCCAAGGGACCACATGGCAGCTGTGCAGCCTGCCCAGGAATGGGTCACTTCCCTCAGCAGCCAAGCAGGGCTGTGGCGAATAGCACCTACACAGAGAGGGTACCAAAGGCTCCCAGTCCCCACACAGCTACAGCAAAGGCAGCCCAAAAATCACTCACCAGGGCAAATACACCAAGGCCTGGCACAACCTGTGGTAACTGACTGGCTACTTTCAAGCTCAGGAAAAGTTACCAGTGCTGGAGCCCAGGCTACACTCCACCTCTCACAGGAGAAACAAATCAGCTAATGAGCCCTTTTAATAGTTATGGGGTCAATCAGCATTAGCAGCTGAGGCTGCAGGGCTGCAGCACAGGTGGGTTTGGAGGCTCTCCAGCTGTGTCTCACCTGGGGTTCCCGGCTCCCTGGGCTCTCCTGTTTGTAGTTTACTGCCTGTTTCCATGGTCAGCAGCTGGATCTAATGTCCCCCCTCTCCGCTGCCACCAGAGCAGAGCTGAGGTGCCTCAGGCCTTGCAGGGGACCTGGGTGGGCACTGGGTAGAGGCTTCATTGTTGGGATCTGGGAGAACTTCAGGGTGTACAGCCTGACTTCGGAGAGTGCAATTCCCCTCCATGCTACAGAGCATTTTAGATACACCAGGATGGCAGGAAACGCCATGGCATGTGCTCAGGGCTTTTGATTCTCTTTCAGGTCCATTTTCAACAGAGGTGTTTATCACCATTACTATCCCAAGTGAGCTCCAACCCTGGAAGCATGCAGAAGCATCTGGGAGTGTGTGCCAAGAAGAAGGGATTTACAACAAAATTAGTTTATTTTTAATCTCAGGTTTTTTCCTCGTTGCACTCTGTAGATTTGTTTGACACATTCCTGACAGAGGCATAAAGCCTGACATGAAGAACTTATGTCAGTATAACGTGTCCAATCATCAAGACTGTGTGAGCACCAGCCCACCTCTTTTCTCATGCTCAGGCTCCAAAAATGCCTGCTCCAATATTTTTATATGCCCAGACTCAAACACATATGCTGCATAGTTGCTCCCACATGACCAATAACCTGGACTTCAGGGGAAGTAAAGTAATATGTAAGTCAAGTGGAGTAAGAAACTAAAGCCCTTCCACCTCCAGAAGAACTTGTTCTGGTCCTAAAGAAAAAGAACAAAACCAGGCACAGCACCTACTTTTCTTACTTTTTATATAAAATAGACATTTACATACATTTTCTTCTGCAAAGTCTTTGAGCATAACTCCTTGATGTGAAATCTAGCCATAAATCCCACCGTGAAAAAAGCAGACTTTGCAAATTCCTGCATCAGACATACATCCAGCTGCTGCTAAGAGTGAATTTATTTTTAAAATATCTCTAATCCACGGGCTGTTTTCTTGTGGTTTTGTTTTTGTTTGTTTGTTTGTTTTCTTTTTTAAAAATATATGCACAGCAAATTTAAAAAAAATAGATACAGAAATAAGAACCATATGAACAACAGGCAATGCAAACAAACTTCTGCATGAGAGGAACACACAGCGTGACATCCACTTCAGGCAGAGATTTTTACAGTAATACAGTTGTAGAAGCCATAGCTTTTACAGAGGATACCACTGGGGGTATTTTCCAGAAGAAAAAATTTTCAGCAAGTCAGTACAAACATGGTAATGAACTTTTGCACAAAGTTATCAAGGTTACCTGAAGCAACTTTGCCACATTAAAACACCAGTGAATGCCAAGCGCTGTTTTTTAAAATTTTTTTGATTTTTTTTTTCTCTTTCGCTGCTGAGTTTAAATGTACATGAAAGCAAAATGGTGCATTTTGAAATTGCTGCAAGAAACTGAAGGTTGGGGGAAAAGCCCTCTAAGGGCTAATTTTTTTGAAAGATTGTGCATAATTGCATATATGAAAGATAGGAATTGAGCACTTGGTCAACTTAATCACATAAAGATTGAAAAGACTTAAGCATACACCAGCTGTTTCAATGAGCTGGAGGACAAGTGGGACAAAAGACCATATAATAGTATAAACTGCTTAATTAATAAATTAGACTGACAATTATCTTCATTCAGCAAGTATTTTATACCATATCTGGTCTGGTTTCCATAACTGTGGAGGAGCTTTCAAAGTTTTTTAGATCATTTTAGGGGTGTCCAGCCTCCCCTGCAAGTTAGGCTTTTTATTTTGATTTTTTTTTTTACTTATACTTCTTTCTACCCCCATGCATGCATGCACAGCCCCCTGTCCTCCTCGAGATCTCTGGAATGAAGGCCATTTGCACTGCTGCATTCACTTATGTTTGGCCAAAATAAATTTGATAGGAAAATCTAGTCTATGTAGTCCATGAGAGAAAGAAAATTCCCCCACTGCATCATTTATCCTGGGGGACAGAAAAGGCATGGAAGCAAAGAATGCTGGAATTTAAATAAGCAATAAAATGAAATCCATCAGCTGCAAATGTTATTCATGGAGAAAGGAAAAAGCAACACAGTTGTTATGTTTCTCATTTAGGATTAAAATGCACAGTGAGCACATGAGAGTCCTGTCTAACCAGCTTTCCACTAATTCTCTGCTTTAAAATTAGTGAGCACTGAGGTTTAGCCAATGCAACTTGCAGAGAGCATGAACTCTCCCACACCAGGCAGATCTTCAGCCATTTATTAATTTGCAGTCTCTGCTAACCATGCTGAGCACTGGAGCTGGCAGAAAACAATGTATTTATAACTTGTTTTAGAAGCTGTGCAATGCTAGAGGAAGAGAACATTTCCTGTGATTAATTAAGATAATATAAAGTTATCACAAGGTAAGTTGCTCCATTTATCTTTCACAATAGCATTCCATTTTGGTGGAGTAACCCATTTCATACCATACTCCGTTCTTCTTTGCCTGCAAAGACATGATTAATGCCCTGAACAAACACAGGGCTTCAGCATGGGTGCCAGCAGGGCAGGGAGTCAGCTCAGAGCTCCACAAAGGTTTAACTGCTTTGGTAGCCCATGGTCTGAGCCATTCTCCAAATCTGCTGCCAGTTTGCAGACTGTTATCCTGCATAGATGGGGTATAAAGTGCTGGCTCAGGAACGTGGGGTTCATTACTGAGCTCTCCTCTCTCCATAACTACCATAAACCCAGCTCCAAAATGTGGAGAGCTGGCCTTTCGACACAGAAATGTAAACTGGTTCAACTGGCATTAAAATCCCTGGATGTGTTATCTGCCTAATTCAGGCAAGTGGATATGCCTTGCCTTCCAACCAAACCACCTCCCTTACTGGGAGCATGGTCTCATCTTTCTCCATTTTCTCCAAGTAAGACGGTGTTGCACAGATGGTAGTCAATCCTTCTCCAGGATCCCAGAGGGGAGCATCCAAAGCTGTATTATACTTGTACACATACACCAGTTTTAGGAGGTCAAGATGGTTTTGATCAGGTTTTAGGACAAGCAGGAGACAGTAATTTCTACCAGGTCTCTAAGGAAAGACAAACTAAGATTTATGCTGAAGTTAAAAACATAAAACTAAGTCTTCTCCCTCACAAAGCATTGCTATAAAAAATACAACTTCTGTATTTGAAAAAATATGTTTCATTGGCCACTATTTAAAGCCACAAACTGCAGTGAGGCCTGTAGAATATATAATATTTATTTAATATATCTTTATGAGGCAAAGTTTATAGTTGATAGACATTTTTAAAGGAGGCATATCTCCCCCCACGCTACCCCCCAAGCTTCAGGTGGCTGTTAGAGCACTCTGCAGATGCCTTGTCCCTGGGGAGCTTTGAGAGGTACCATTGTCAGGGCTGCACCACTCTTCTGCCAGCCCCCAAATTCACTGTACCACCACCAGCCTGGGCACACAGGGCTTTGGGAAGCTGCCACCAAGGACACGCTCACCTTGGGGACAGGCAGAGAGCTTTCTGGTCCAGGTACCTCTGAATATCCCAGTAAGGAACCCTCTACAATCTTGCACTGGATGCTGGGGAACTGATTGCTGTCAGAGGCCCATGTAAGCTTGGGTTTCCCCATCCCATGGGACTGTGCTGGCATGATGCCACCTCCTCCTGGCCATCCTGGCAGCCCAGGGGTGTGCAAAGCTACTCTGTGCATGGCAGCCAGCAGAGCACTGAGGACCTGCAGAAATGTCAGTTCAGCCAGTCCACAGCCACAACAGTGGTGTGAAAAGACAAGAGAGGGTTGCTGACCCAGCCCCAGGAGCTCAAACCTGCCCCATGCCCCATAAAGTAAAGTAGGCTGCTTGGGCTGGGAGCAAAAAGAGTGTAACAGCTTGATTATTCTGATCCCAGTGCTCCCCTGGGAAGCTGGTTTGGAGGGGGAGAGCCCAAACATCTGTGGTGCCACCTCTTCCTCACAGCAGTCTTTCACTTCTGCCCAGCTGTATCTGGCTGGTCTCCCTGTCCAGTGGGGACCAGTCCAGCCTGGTCTCAGTGGGTGTACAGCCATGGCTCTGGCAGGTACATAAACCCTGGAAGGACAGACAACTGCACCTGGGCTCCCTCTGAGCTCCAAACGCAGTCAGAGTCACATCAGTAATTCCGCAGTAATTTGACCACCACCTGCAGAAAGACACCAGGCTTTTCAAATGAAACCAGCACATAGCTGGACCATCCCAGTGAGGGAATCTGGAGTGTGCTGGGGTGCCATGGCCAGCTAAATCCAGGCACCACAGGGGTGCCTGCCACACAGGCTTTTCCTGGCAGATGTGTTTTAAGGCATTGCACACCTAACTGAACTGTGCTAATAATGCCAAACCCTGGGCTGCTGGCCACAGTCAAGCTCAAACAAAACAACTTTTCTGGCAGTTTAGTGCTTCAAGAGGAACAAACTGATGACCTACCCTGATGTCCAAACCCAAAGGCACGAAGCAGGATCCCACTAACGCTCCCTGGGAACTGGTGCAAACCAGTGGAAGCAGCAAAAGTGCTGCTATTGCAGGGCCAGTGTTGTCCAGTGTGCTCTGCAGCCACTCACCTTAGAATCATGAGAGGGAATAATTCCAGCACACTTCATTGGTACTCCCTTTTCCTAACTTCAGACAATATGTGTCACAACGCCCAACCATGTGGCCAGCTGTGAAGGATATTGCCCAATTCATATAAAACAGAGAAAATATATTAATTATTTGATTATTATAAGTTAAATAAATAAAGCCCAAAAATAAAAGCCCCAGTTCTGAAGAGAATTTGTTTT